TTACTCAGTAGACAGAGCAATCATTTTTAACCAGAAAATATCAAATTCGAGCCATATTGACGAATTTTCTAAAAACATCGAGTTTCAAGATCTGTCCAAAATTTCCAATTATTTGAAAGTTGAACGGACCATTCCTGCGAAAACGTTAAACACCAAATTCTAACCAAAATTTACGATTTTCTTAATATAAACATAAATCACAACAGTGAAACCAAAGTGTATCATCTTCCTAACGATAAAGTACTTTCGTATTATACGATAACTGTTATCAATTCTCCAGAGATTTGAAGCCAGTTCTTCGATCGTAATGAAACTAGCACACGGCATTAGTATTCATCGAACGAAAAATCAAACGATTCGACTGCTCTACAACACTCGTCGTCCGTCCGAGAGAGATGTTCTCAATGCGAATCAATACGATGTACTCACAAGCGTGGACATCACGTCGCTGACTTGTCTCACGCTCTCGGCGCTGCCGAAGAAATACGGCACCTTGTGCGTGCACATGTGAAGATTCCTGATCTTCCTGATCTGCACTAACTGTCCGTTCTTCAGCCCGTACACCGTTTCCAGAATGTAGTCACGCTTCACGCGCAAATCGTGATCAACGACGTTCCGTTCCACCGAGAATATCGTCACGCACTCGCCCTGCGTGAAGTTCTCCATCAGCTCGAACGTTTGATCGTACTCGCCGACGAGGGCCCCGATGTTCAACTGGCCGACGATCACCCTGATCATGTCCAGCTCCCGTGGCTGTATATTCTCGTTCACCACGAGGCTGTCGAGCCCGTGCTGGCTGAACCTGATCTCGAATTGATCCTGATTGATCTCGTATGCTTCTTGACGCGACACCTCGCTGACCGGGATCGCCGGTGATCCTGGATCCAGACTGTCCGTCGCGTAACTGTCCGCCTTCGAGTCGCGAAAGTGACAACTGAGAACGTACAATCCCTTCGGGTTGCACACCAGCTTCGAGGCGACGTTCAACCGGATGCTCATGTAGCTACCTTCCTCCGGTATCGCCGTCGAGTTCACCTGAACGTGGAAGGTGTATTGCGGCCCGTACCTCCACGGTGTGTCGATATTGACACGTGCCACTGGAAAACAATACGTACGCGCGATTAGGGGGAGACACGCGACCGTCTGCAGATGAAACCTATGGCCCCGAATCCGATCACGTCTCGCCGCGTGAGATTAATCTGTTTTATTGCCCGGCGATCATTTTGTTACGTGGACAGGTATTTTCGCGGGTTCGCGAGGAGTGGGATTATGGGATTATGTACGCACGCGTGTATATGTTGGCATGAAAGTGAGTACAGAGCCAGCAAAAATGCTGCTCGCTCGTACAGGCAATATTTTCTGGAATATATTATCTATTGACAGTATGAAGTATTATCAAGAATGCATATGAAGTATTATTGAGTGTGAAATATTGTGAAGAATGAGTACGAAGTATTACTGAGTATAAAGTATTATAAGGAATGAGTATAAAGTATTCTTGAGTATGAAATATTATGAAGAATGAGTATGAAGTATTACTGAGTATAAAGTATTATGAGGAATGAGTATAAAGTATTCTTGAGTATGAAATATTATGAAGAATGAGTATGAAGTATTATTAAGTATAAAGTATTAGAAAGAACGAATATGAAATATTATTAAGAATGAAATGTTATGAAGAATGAGTATCAAGTATTACTGAATATAAAGTATTATGAGGAATGAGTATGAAGTACTATTGAGTATAAAATATTA